GGCCGCTTTCAGCTTCTCACCCGAGAGCTTGCGTGGTCGTTCTGCTGTTGGGGGCTCTTCTGTCACAATGTGGTGGGCGACCGTCGTCCCGGACAGGGGGCGCCGACAGAACGATGGCTTGGTGAGATTGACGAACTTCTCCAGCAGCTGAGTGTACCTCGGAGCGCATTAAGCATTCACGTCGAGCGTTAGGATGCCATGATGCTCTGCTGGTTCTATGTTTCCGGCGGCTGACACATTTGAAATTGGATCAATGATTTTTCCGTGCTTAAGATCTACGAGAAAACCATAAAATGAAATTAAATCGGCTCCTATGATAGCGACTTTAACTTCAGCTACAATAAATGGCCATTTTATTTCGCGTCGTAATCCTAAATTGATCGATAAGAGTTCTTCTCCGTAAGTTTTGATGACCGTGGAATTGGCGGCGTAGAGCTTGGTCGTTGACGGGTGAAATTTCCGTTTGACCTCTTGAACGGGAATCACGGAAACCGCTGAACCGGTGTCAACTAAGAATCTTCTGCCATTATTCCGATCAATCACGTGGAGGCGATATTCCTGGTCGTTGTTTGACGTGCTGCCTACCGTCACCTCGTCCGGTGGCAGTGCTTTTAGTTTTCCGACTTGTCCTTGAAATTGCATGGCGGTCGGCATTTGCGCGCCATTTCTCCGAATCGAGAGTGATAATAGCATAAGTCAACGTTTCTTCCCTCTTTGTTACGGCCCTTACTTGCCGACCCTGCGCGCGAGCGGTTGCGAGTCAGTTTGTTATTGTTGTTATAACGACTTCTGCGAAATTCCTGGAAGTCACGCGTGAGTTTCTCGATGGCGGTGTTTATGGCGTCGAGAGTCGAATTCTCGGAATTGATCGAACACACATCGATTGAACCACTAGGCTTAATTATATCAACGATTTTGTCGGCTTGCATCGCGAGCTTGCCGAGTTCCAAGGTGTCGCCGATGACCAGGTGTGCTCTCACGTTCTCTGGTAAATGTTCCATGAAGATGGTTCTGAGAACCGTGTCGTTGCATTGCGAGCCTGCGAGATTTTTGATTTTTGCTAAAACGCGTGACGGTTTTTCATCCGAGACATCGTGTGATCGCGAAGCAAACGTCTAAGCTTTGTGTCGTCGGTTTCTCCGAATGTCTCTATGATGCGTTTTTTAAGCGCGTCGTATCTCCCCGTATCCGGCGGATTTTCGATCAAGTCCGCAACGAAAACTGCCGTCGTTTGGTCAATGTTCGATACAACATACCTGAATCTTGATTTGTCGCTAGTGACCTTGTAGTTTTCGAAGGTGCACTCGATCGTGGAAAACCATAATTTCGGCTGTTCTTTCCAGAAAGGCGGAAGCTTAATGTTGGCGGTGATCGAGGATACGTTGCCTCCGTTGTCCGGATTCCCTGGAGAAACATTGTTGGTCTGAGCGAGCTCGGCGAGGCGTTCTTGTAGATCAGCTACGGTTTTCTCGAGCTCAGCGTGTTTGGTCTTGATTTGTTCGTTTTCTCCCATATTTCCTCACGTCGTTGTCTCCGTTCGCACTTAAATCGCGGGTCACCAATGTCGTGATTTGTCGCCCGACACGTGGTAAAAAGTACTACACCGGGATCATTTACAAATCACTTACTAAATACTTTATTTACGTAAAGCTTACAAAATATAATGAGGATTATAATATGGATAATTGACACGATGTCTGTCGATGAACGTGAAATGCCACAGCAGCGGCGAACGAGCTACGGCACGAGGTTCACGTTCGACGTACGGAAAACGGAAGACGCACTAAAAGTCCTCGCGGGGAACGAGAGTCTGCTTCCGCGGACGCCGTGCGCTCGTGGTATTTGTCGGTGCTGTCAGATGGCGCGGTTTGTCGACTACTGTGGCCGCTTGGCGCCACTAGCGAGAACTGTCGACTAGGGAGTTCGTCCCTCTAGTTACCCCTTTTCGATGTGACTCATGGTACTACGCGTTCAAACTTGTTCGTAACGAGTTCGAGTCGAATATAGTCGTGTCTTGCACGAGCCAGAAGCAAGTCATAGTAGTCCGCGTCTCGCGCGAGCAGTACCGTTCTGAGAACGTTGAATTTGTGAAGTAAGACTCGTTAAACGCTGGGTTAATAGTCCGCAGCGAAATTAAGTTTCCGATCGTCTGGCGATCGCGTTTGGTAGTCGGTTTCGCGGCATTGGTGCCGTTCACCGTACAAGTATATGTTAAACGGACGAATCCTCGTCAGGATTCTACTCCGAGTCATTTGCGCATTATATCGCGTAGTTTTAAGCGCACGCGGTTTCAACCGTTGTAAATATGTATTGTTATCCAGTTAATAAATCGTGCACGTGAGACAATATAGCTGTGTGGACTTATTACCGTCTAGGGTAGAGCCCTACCCTACCGACGGATGTTAGCGGTTGGTGTATCGGAACACGCGTATCCCTCGAGGAGCAATTACCGACAGATACAATTGCCGAGAGTATACCGAACAGTTATAATTACATAAGCCCATCTGCTACATTTGGTGACCCCGACGTGATCGTCGTGATCGACGTGTTCGTTGTGCTCGATGTGAAATCGATGTGATTCGAATGTGATCCGAACGCGATCCGGACTGTGCTTAGACTCGGTTACATTCGTGATCCGAACTTTTCTTTGAACCCCGGCGCAGCAGTGACTATTTAGCCTGTGTGTACCGGTGATGGTGAATACACGTTCCACTAAGCGTGATAGTGACGAAGATTCTTCACCCCCTCAAGCAGCGGAAGACACTGCACTCATGGATACCCCGGTGAGTTCCCCGACGCAGGGAGATCCTGCGTCACCTCTTGTTGCTGCAAGATCCGGCAAGTCAATAATGCACCCGAAGATTCAGCCGTTTTCTAAGACTGATCCGGCGTTATGGTTTGTGCAATTGGAAATGGTTTTCGACATAGCAGGCATTATGGATGATGTCAGCCGTGTCAAATACTTAACCACCAATTTGGGGGATGCAGTCCTTGCGGATGTTCGTGATATAGTAATGTCACCTCCGGTTGACGGAAAATACGAAGCTGTGAAGTGCCGTCTACTGAAGATTTATGCTCCGACGCAGGACACCAAGATCCAACAGTTGCTGCGTAACGAAAAGTTAGGAGACGACAAGCCGTCCGTGTTTCTTCGCAGGCTAAGATTCTTAGCCGACAGTCAATACCAGGAATCGATGTTGCGCGCGTTGTTTTTGGACCAGTTATCGCACAGTGCACGTTCGATTCTCGCAGTGTCCGCACGTCTGACATTAGATCAGCTCACCGAGCAGGCTGATCTCGTTTACGAGCAGCTCAGATACATTTCTGCCCCGTCGGTGGCAAGTGTTTCAAATGAACAATCAGTGAGTGCTTCTGTGCCGCAACCGGTCGTTGCTTCTATTTCTAATCCGGACTCAGTGCTTTCCAGCCTCACTGCGCAGCTCGCGATGTTAACTACGAGCATTCAACGGCTCATAGCTGAAAATCGGCGTCCGGGACGTAGTCGTTCGCGCGGCAGACAATTTCAGCGCAGGAATTCGCGAAATCGCAGCGGTAGTCATAGTCAATCGCGCAACGGATTGTGCCGTTTGCACGCGAAATTCGGTGTGGCCGCGTATCGTTGTTATCCTCCGTGTTCCTGGGGCAAGTCGGAAAACTCCGCTCCCCAGTAATCACGGCGGCGGATTTCGGGGAAGCGTTTAAACGTCGCCTAATAGTGACGGATAGAAGTTCCGGTCTCAAGTGCTTGATAGACTCCGGTGCCGATGTCTCGGTGATCCCTGCTGGTCCTTCGGACCATGGTAAACGGCAGGAGACTCCTCTTTATGCTGCCAACGGTACAAAAATTGCTACCTTCGGCACGAAACTTTTAACGATGGATTTCGGTTCGTCGCGAGTGTTCCCGTGGGAATTTGTGGTTGCTGACGTGACTAGAGCTATTCTAGGAACGGATTTTCTAGATCATTTCCAGCTCTTAATAGACATTCACAATAAACAATTAATTGACACGGTGTCTTCGTCGTGCGTTCGCGGCGTTATCAGTTCGGTTGAGACACTCTCCGTTAGTCGAGTGCTGAATGGCAACCGTTTTCAAAGTCTCCTGAAGGAGTTCCCGGAGTTACAGCGCTCATCGTGGGTGCCTTCCAAGGTCGTCCATAATGTCACCCACTGCATCGAGACGACTGGTCCGCCTCTCACCGCTCGGGCTCGTAGGCTCGACCCGGAGAAGTTCAAGGCTGCGAAGCAAGAATTCGACGTAATGTTAAAAAACGGTATATGTCGACCGTCATGCAGCCCGTGGGCCAGCCCGCTTCATCTTGTGAAGAAGAAGGATGGATCCTGGCGTCCGTGTGGAGATTACCGGCGCCTGAATAACGTGACGATACCGGACAGGTATCCGATTCCGTTTTTACATGATTGTATGACCTTCCTGCATGGTTCGAAGATTTTCTCGACCATTGACCTGAAACGCGCGTATCAGCAGATACCAGTGCGCGAGCAGGATATTCCGAAGACAGCGATAATTACGCCGTTTGGGCTCTTCGAGTTCCCTTACATGACCTTCGGGTTACGGAATGCTGCTCAATCGTTTCAGAGGTTCATGAACCAGGTTGTCGCCGGCCTGGATTATTGTTCTGTATATATAGATGATATTCTCGTCGCGTCGTCGTCGGCGGACGAGCACGTAGAACATCTTAAGACTCTTTTTAGTAGGTTGCAGCGATACGGGTTATTGATCAACCCTGACA